CAAATGTAAAAATGTATATCACACAACAGTGAGAAAATGTATACTCGGCAAATGAAAAGTTATGCAATGCACATACATTAAAGCATGGAAACTACTCTTTTGAAAGAGGAACCACAAAGCACATGAAAGAATCAAGCTCCAATTATAATGTTTATCCATCAATTACTGCAAAGAATTAAGCTCAAATTTCAAATAAGGGTGAAGGACTTGACTGTATATAAACATATATCTAAACTCAAAGTCATCATCAGTAAAGGAAAATTCTAAAACAATCGTATATATCCATTACAAGAAAGTGAGCCGAAAAGCAGAGAAACCCATGAAAAAAAAACCAATAAAAAGTACCAAAATCCGTTTATAGCGGCTCCGATAAAGCAAGGGGTCAAAGAAATGGTGGGAAATCAAAGCCTAAGCCCTAGAAATCAAAAAAGATCCAAACCTTATGCCAAAAAATCAGACTCTTTTCTCCCTCAAATTAATCAAAATAAAAGATAAACAAAACCAAACCCTAGAAATCAAAAGGTAAAAATTCAACTCTTCACTACAAATCAGACTTCTGTACTCTCAACAATCGTAACTTTTTTCAATAGGAAGCTCAAAAATAAGATTAGACATAAAAAAGAAAATAAAGAATATTTGTAGGCCAAATTATATGAAAATATCCTAATTTTTAGACCCACACCCGAATAAAAAGCAAAATAATATAAGCAAAAACAGGAAAATTCATGGAAGAATTACCTTGGATTCACTGGAGTTTGCTTTCAAAATTACAGAGAGATGGCGTAGTGGGGCGAAAATGAGAATAGCGAGAAATGGCGTAGAGAGAGAGAAACCGAATGAATGAAGGGGAAAAAGGCAAAAATGGCCAGACAGAGAGAGAAATGAGTGTACCGAGAAAGTCAGAAAGCTGAGGGGAATAAAAAAAAATTGTTAAGTGCTATATGACGTCAGCAATGGATCAGCGTGATGCAATTTGAACAGGAACAAATCCTCCTCTTTTATATATGTAGAGGATATATGTAGAGGAAATAAATAAATAAAAATTACAATTACAACAACCCAAAAATTCAGATATCCCAAATAACAGTTGGATAAGTTACTGAACACTTCAATTAAAATTATAAAAGGAGGAAAAAAACCCCCCAAAAAATTCTCTATCGAGCCCATTTACAATGAAAAGCAAAAAAAAGACTAAAGCAATAACTTTAGTAAAAAATAACAATCAATCCATAAGAATCTGTCTTTCGTACAGAAAATTTAGCATAGTTTCTTCAACGAAGAGATAACCAGATCCCTAAAAAATTCACGTCTTTCACTCCATTACATTAATATAGCAGATGCATCTTCAACAAAACAAAGTGTGGCCGTGTGTTAGATATAGTTACCAGCAGATGGGAGGGGAGAACTTGGGCGAAAATCATAAACGATTAAGCACAAGAAATCGATGGTACAAACAAAAAACGAAGGTATTTATGTCATATTTTGCTGATTCTACAACTTACTTCTACGCTTGAATGGAGGATACTTGTGAAATTGGGTTTCAAAATGACAAACTAAATCGAGAGAAATGGCGTACTGGAGAGCGCGAGATACACGAACAAGCGAACGATTGAGGGGAAAAGCCGGCAAACAAAGAACAATCTGAAAAAAAAAGAACAAACCTCTGTTATTGTAGTGGAAATCGAAAATGGGATTTCAAACAGCGAAATTGATAAATGATTAAGCACCAAAAATCGATGGTACATGGAGAACAAACGAAGGAATTTATGTCATATTTTGTTGATTCTACAACTTACTTTTACACTTCAATGGAGGATACATGTGAAGTTGGTTAGGATTTCAAATGACAGGGATGGCGTAGTGGAGAGAGAAAGACGATAACAAGCAAATAATTGAGTTGAGGGGAAAAGTCGGGAAAAAAACAAGGCATTTTCGTTGGTGCTGTGGGACGTCATCAATAGGTCAGCATGATGCAATTTGAACAGTAAAAATCCTCCTCTTTTATATATGTAGAGGATATATCAACCGTTTACAAATTCTTTCCAAACTAGCACTCAAACGAGTAAAATAAACAAGTTGACGATTGACTCAGCACCCAACACATACGCACTAAAAAATTCAAACACATTTATTTGCTGTGTGTGAATCAGAGTTCTTGAAATAAAATATCATTTAAGGGTTGAAAGAAATAAAACGTTAATAGAAAAAATGTTAATTGGACCTCGTTATAGCTGGGAAGGATAGAAGTTTATATAAAATTACAATAAAAATAATATATTAGCAAATGGAATGGAGGAAAACTTCAGATTTGCAGTAAATTATTTGTCTCTCCTCAATTAATCTGTAATAAAAAATTTAACACCGTGTTTGTTTACTTATATTTTGGATTGAGACTTACAAGCAGTAAATTAAAAGTGACATTAAAATAAGTAACTTTTTTAATTAAAATTCAAGAAAATAAAAAATTGCACTATCCAAATTTACCTTCACAAGCTTACAAATAATTTTGTGAAAATTTCGCCATCATTTAAACTTAAAATTCATCTTTCATCGTCAACATCCACTGTATAATCAAGAAACGGGTGGGTTAAGTCGTCTTCTTCTTCTTCTTCATCTTTTTTAGACCCACCCTCCTTGAAATAGCCTACCCCTCTTCCTCAAAAGAGAAAGAAAGAAAAAAGGGAATGCAAGATAATTTTAATTCCATTCATTGCTTAGTGCATTAAAAAAAGGTACCTTTCTGAATAGTAATTCTATCTATTGTATGCATACGTGTATGTAATCTGTGTTTTCTGGGTTCTTAAAAATTTTCAGGATTTGTATTTCTGTTTTCCACTGTGCAAGGTATTGTGTTGTGGGACACATTGAATGTTGAATTGTTCAAGTTTGGATTTTTTTGGGGTTTTCTTTTCCAATTGTTTCAATTTGATTTGTTTTATTTGTTAGGGGCTTTTGGCTATGATGAATTCTTGATTGAAAAAGTATTGTAGGTAGAATGGGTTATTTCCTGTATAATTTTAGGTATTTTGTATGTTATATTTGTTATAATTATTAATATGTTTTTATTTTGATGCTTATCAGTTGCAGATCAAGATTAATTTGCATTCTAGAAAGTAGATGCCTAATTAAGTGCACTCGAAAATGCACAATCTCTGAACTTTAATATTTCTGTCGTGGAAATGTGACTTTTTAATTCAGTATTTTTTTTTTCCGTGTGGAAGAATGAATATTAACGACTTAGAATTATTTTTATTTTTCTCTTGGTAAGTCAATTGGTGTCTGAATTGTGTTATCATCATCGCTTGGAGGAAAATAAATCTTGTAAAATCTTTCGGAGATCATTGAATGGTGTGCAATTATCATGCAATAACGTATTATGATTTGTTCTTAAGAAACGAGTCTCCATCTTGTATAATTTATTAAGAGCAGAAGGAAAAGTCTTCCTTTTTCTGGAAGAGTATTCGAACTTTGTGGATATTGTTCATAGTTTATGTACAGGAAAACTGCATGGCAAGTGTGACTGTTAATTTGGTTATCTGCATTATTCCTTTCGAGAGCACCTTTGACATACCCCATTTGTCTTGAAGACAGTCTCTAGTTGTTATTGACTTCTGAACTTCTTTGATCACACAAATTAAGTGCAAAGTGCACTATAAATATTGCCATTGGCAATTTGGCATGCACTCAAATGCCTTGCAGATCATGGGAATATAGGAAAATTGATGGAGACTATATCATGTGCTTTTTGTCTGCATCCTTGTCTCTGTGTTTGCTTGTTTGGAGTGTTCTGGATCGTGTATGCATTGTGAATCACTAGCTAATATTGCTTCGTCTTTGTCGTAACAGGGAGGGTGACACGCTTGCAATTAATTGTTGACGTCTTCATATATTTTGCATCCACAATCCGAGTTCAGTCGAGTGACACATGAAGCTATATTTTTAAAAACATTCCGGTTGTCTGAAAAACTTTTCATCCGCCCCTTGCTTTTAGATAGTTGATTTGGCTAAGACTGTATAGGTCCATTGGATAGCATGCTGAAGTTGTAAATCTGATTGACTTGTGCTCAGTGTAATGATTTGATGTTGTACCTATGTCAATAATGGGTTTGAGATTTAAACAGGTGTTGTTACTATTTCTCTTTGTTTCATTGTTGAATAATAATGTCTACGCCGAACATGAAAAGGAAACTTCACAGAAGTTAAGAACTGCTCCACAATGGAAAGAAGGGAGTGGGGTGATAGATGGGTCAGGCACAGAGCATGTTTTTAGTTCTGAAATTATTAATAATGAAATGGATGATTGGAAGGGTGGAAACAACCGAGTTTCTGTGTCAACAGTTGCATTTTTCACTATGGCAATGGCTGCAGCTACTGGTTTAGGTGCTGTGCCATTCTTTTTTGTGGAGATTGATGCTAAATTGGCTGGAATATGTAATGGGATGGCTGCAGGAGTAATGTTGGCAGCTAGCTTTGATCTTATACAAGAAGGACAGGGCCATGGTAGTGGGAGCTGGGTTGTGTTGGGTATTTTGGCAGGTGGCATTTTCATTTGGCTTTGCAAGAAGGTATTCCTTTCATTTCTAGCAATTTTCAGCTTTGCAGTTAGTGGTTGATCATTAATTTGGATAGCTAATCATGCCTCCTTTTTCCCATTAGAAAGTCTTTACTCTTTTTAGTGTACATTCACAATTCATGTCTTCTCCTTTTCCCTTTCATTTCAGCCTTAACCTCTGTAGGATCTGATATATGTCTTTGTTTTTCTTTCCATGTGATGAAATCTATAGGTACCTCTTCTCTTTTTTTGGTTCATGTCTCAGGGTAATTTGCGTTTGTGTCTAATATGACCATACAACATGAGACCAAATTTTGTATATTATCTTACATTCATACTGGTTAAATCTGAGTTGGTGTTTCTTCAGTAAGTGTATCCCACTAGTTACGATTTTATGAGTATAGTCTATTTTGGAAACATGTTTACAATAGTTTCTACGTTACTACAATTTATCTCATATTCATCTCCTATTTTCCTCGTCAAGCTTCACCAAAAGATGTCTTATTTGGGTCTTTGTTATCTTTAGGTTTAGGGTTTTTTATGTTTGTCTTTTCTTGGGTGTTTTCTATCTTTATATTTTTAAATGTCATAGTCTTGCTAGGTATGATAATATGCCTCCTGCACAACCTTGCTTTATGTTTTTGGCAGTACAATCCAAAAGTTTTGAACTGATGCAGCCTGAAGGGTGCCCGTAAGATTTGTCCTCTCCTAGTTCAACGTAAATTTACACGTCTTCTCGTTTATTTTATCCTTTGGGGAGGGAGTGAGGGGGCAGGTTCAAGAGAGAATGGAATCATAAAACACTGAAATGAGCTAGGTGCCATCATCCCTGATTTTTGTTTTCAATATTATCAACCATGTCACTGTCACTTTGAATACCTCAACAAGTATTAAAAAATTTCTGCATAATCATTATAAGCACATCCAGCTGAAACACTAAGCTTATTACTCACTGTCGATAAATTTTCTTGGTGACCACAATTGAAGTGCTAAAAACCTTGGGATATGAGAATGCAATCTTTTTACAACCTTAATAAGTGCCTTGAATAAGTACTGTTATGTAAATCTCCCTGTTATCAATTAAGCTTATTACCATTTGTGTTTAAACAATTTTCTCTCTCATTTATGTTTCGGAAGTCAAGAATATCTTTTTTCATATGCTGGCTTCTCTTTAAGTATGAGTTTCCGTTGTTCAGTTTCTTGAGCAATATGGTGAAGTGAGCATGTTGGATATAAAAGGAGCAGAAGCAGCTAAAGTCATTCTTGTTGTTGGAATTATGACCCTTCATTCTTTTGGAGAGGGCTCTGGTGTTGGAGTATCCTTTGCTGGGTCCAAGGGTTTATCTCAGGGGATTTTGGTTACCTTGGCCATTGCCGTTCACAATATACCAGAGGGATTAGCTGTTAGTATGGTTCTTGCATCGAGAGGGGTCTCTCCACAGAAAGCTATGTTATGGAGTGTGATTACATCACTGCCACAGGTAATTGGTTAGCTTTCCTTGGATATATTTGGGAATGCTAACTACCTAGCAAATTATATAATTGTGAGATAAAATGTTCCGACAGTAATAACTTAAAATAACAAAGTTGGGGATTTGTTTTTCTTTCCTAATATATGGTTTACAATGAATAAGTGGATTGATAAAGCTATAGCTTATAACGAGAAAACTGACTTCTGGATTCAGTTGAGTGATATTAAGAGATAAAGTACGTTTTCCCTTTTTTAGATTTTGCTTTTATGAATGCTATAATATAAGTTTGTAATTGGCATTTTAAATCATTTCTTAATGCAGCCTATTGTAGCAGTGCCATCTTTTATATGTGCTGACGCATTCAACAAGTTCCTTCCATTTGCCACGGGATTTGCTGCTGGGTGTATGATTTGGATGGTTATTGCAGAGGTCCTTCCAGATGGATTCAAGGTAACTTGCTTGACACCCTCCCCCTCTCCAGTCTTCCTTTCCACAGAAACTGGGTGTGGGGGGGGGGAAATAAAAAAAGCTAAACTTCTCGAGTAATAATAGCTAAAAGTCTATTTAAAACAAGAATTTTGTTTCAACTTTGTAAATACTGCGGCTTCTATTACTTTTACAGATGTAGTTTGGATATGCCCTAACAATTAAGCAACAAATTTTTCTTCCGTTCATTTCAAAGTTAAACTGCACTTCTGTTTTATGATTTTTGATGCATAAGATTCCACCCTCCTTTGGTCCCTATGAACAAATTTATCCAATAGAAAACGTATTTATTTAATTCGACTTTTCTGTTTTACTTCAATGGAAAGATTATCCTTCACTTTCCCTTTCCTTACATGGTAGAGGGTGAAAACAAAATAAAAGAGGAGAAATATGATGCAGTTACTAATGTTTTGATCTTAACAACACATTAAGATTTGAGATCTCATTTGACTTTGTTATACCATTTCTGAGTTTTTCACTATCACACATCAAATTTTTGCTCTTGACCACAATTTTGTTTCTTCTGTCATTTGGATTGTAGGAAGCTTCTCCTTCACACGTTGCATCGGCGGCTACACTTTCTGTGGCATTCATGGAAGGTCTGAGTGCAGTGTTTGAACATCTCAGCCACAACTACGAGTAAGCTCTCTCTCCCTCCATGTTCTTTGTTTTGTGTGTGCATGCGTGGTGTAGTTTCTTTGTGGGTTGTGTTCACTTCATGCTTGAAGAGTGACTTTGATGGGAGTTAACAGGTTCACTGAATATTCGTTATCTTGTTTTACACTTCCCTTTCTGCTCCAAAAATTTGAACCTGATGTAGTAGCATAGTAGCATTGAGTTATAATGTCTTGCCTTCGCATGTGCCATTTTCTTTCCCTGGTATCCTGGAGGTACATACTTATCAAAATATTTACCAACCTGTATTGTACTATGGAATCAGGGAAGTTGGCACAGGTCAAGACTAGCTATGGCATGATAAGGATGCTTATCTTGTCTGACTCTTGATTGAGCTTTTATTTAGAAAAATTAAAACATAAAAGACTATTTTCTCCTATGTCTCGGTAACTTTGATACACGTAAGCCTGACATGTTGAAATGAAGGTAAAATTACTAATTTCATGGGCCCACTTAATATCCCCGCTTAGTCCAGTGCATTGATGGTTGAATATAACTAGAGAAAACTAAGGTGTTAAATATCATGGCACTGTAACTGTGAAAACTTGGGACTTAGGCCTCTTTGCTTAGTACGTATACGTTAATGTTGAACTAAACAGAAAAGATGTTTGTTATTGAGGGGAATGCTTGAGATTTGTATTATTTTTTGCAAAACATCTGTCATTTAGAATGTGGCAAGAAAATTCCACCTCTCAAATTTTGTTAATTGCACTGAATGAAAACAAAATTGTTGAATTTATATGGAACCTACCTATCTTTTAACCAAATTGGTTTATGCTGCAGTGCAGAGGATGCTTCTGGCTTTTTCGTTTCTCTACTTTTCGGTTTAGGTCCATTGCTTGGTGGAATTGCTCTTGTTGCATTTGCTCTTACTTTCCGTCTTCAGCATGCTCTCCTATCTGGCGTGGCCTCCGGAATTGCTTTTGTTCTTGGTGCTTGGAGACCTCTGCAATTACTACTGTCTTTCAAGATGGGGATATTTCCTCTCCTGTTTTTGTTAGGGACGGGATCAGCTTTTGTACATTTATCTACGTCTGGAACTATGAAGCTTGGAAGCCGTAAAAAGACTTCAGCAAATCCATTATCAGCTGTCACTGGCATTTCAGTTAGTGCGCTAACTTTACAGGCAATCTTGGCCTGTGTGGCTGTTGCCCTCCACGCCCTCTCTGAGGGTCTTGCATTAGGAGTGGCTGCACCTAAAGCTTATGGGCTTGGCCGGCACATGGTCCTTCCTGTTTCTCTCCATGGATTTCCTCGGGGTGCTTCTGTAGCTAGTTGCATTTACGGGGCGACTGGCAGCTGGCATGCTTCCTTATTATCAGCTGCTTTCATTGGGTTTGTAGGCCCATCCTCTGCAATCGGAGCAATACTTGCTGGAATTGACTACAGCGGCCTCGACCATGTGATGGTCTTTGCATGCGGGGGTTTATTCCCATGTTTCTCTAGCATTGTCAGACGAGCTGTTAAGTTAGATAAACGAAAGAGCATTTCTGGGCTCATCATTGGCGTCGTCTTTGCTATTGTGTGTCTGATGTGCACTAAGTTAGTCTGTTTGCACACTCCTTATTGCAACTCTGCTCCAGAAGCTGTTAGATGATTATATGTTGGAGGCTAATATGTTATTTTTGACAATTCTGTAGAGCATATTTCTACATTAGGGACATGTTTGGTGTGTACTATTCAACACGACTAGACAATATTATCGATAAAATTATAATTTTATTTTCTTCATTACGTACTTATAGCTACTTTTCCGGACTCATTGTGAATTTATTTAAGGGATAATTGCAGTGGTGGTTTCAAAATTGTAGTGTTCGTTCTAAACCTGAGCGACAGAAACGTTTATGTTCAAAAATTCGTCAGAACTTTTTTAAAAGAATGGTTTTTTCTGCATCTCGAAGATACAATAATGACTTTTTTCGCGAGCAGCTTATAATAAGACCGTTCAACTTCACATTACAAAATGAATAGTGAATACTCTAGTAATTTTATCATTAATTTCTCTAGGCATTTGAATTATTGTTTTCTTTGACTCTGTAAAATTAATGAAAAAGTCAATACTAATTTTGTAATTATAAGGAAATAGAGGGGTTTTATTGTAAATTAAAATGTGATATTACACTGTAGGGATCATGCGGAAACTAGACGCGGACTTTTACTCCTCCAAAGCACAGATGAATGAAGTCATACTTTTAGAAGTGCCCTCATACTTTAAATATATTCAAATTTTGCCTCATAAGTCTTTCTTATTTACATTTATGACCTAATTGAACATTATTATTCTAATGCAACTTGACGAATACGACAATTAATCACCACTAATTGTGTCTACCATTAATTCACGTGGTTACGATATTATGAGATTTTATTAAATTTTAAATTAAATTCGTTAGTCTTTATTAGTCGTATTTCACAAGTCAGAAGTCAGTTATGCATAGACGAGAATTTTAAGCTATGGTACATATTCACAATATTTCAACTTCGTTTAAGAGAAAAGAAAAACGTTATAGTTATTTTCATTTACAAACTTGCATATTTTTAATAACACCAAAAAAATCTGAATTTGATTTGTTGAATATAAATTAATTGCAATATGTATTCTAATTGAAATTATATAGGATATTAACTAATGGATCCTATAATTAACGTATTAATTTATCTATAATGAAAAATATTCATGGAGTCTTTAATATAAGCAAAAGAATCCAACTTGTGTTAGGGATGACTCGCACCTCTCTCGTTAGGGATCTCGTCATCATTTACTGTCTAGATTATATTGTTTTGTTCCTCAGGATAATTCGAAAGTTGGACAAAACTCTCGAACTGAACTTCGGATCGAACTTGAACCAAATCGAGTGATTCTTCTTATAAATACCTAAATATGTATCTAAATCGAAAACCGACGGGTTTGGTTCGATTCTCGATTCTAGATCAAGAACCAAATCTCCCTAATTTTTTATCTTAAATAAGTTAAATAATTTTATTTTTTCTAAATAAATTTACTAACTAATTAATTTAACTTAAATTCAAAATATGATACTCTTTCTAAGTTTCAACCAAGCCCAACTTAATCAAATTGACCTAAATTTTACCCAAATCTTTTTCTCTATCCTAGTGTCGTTTCTATTGTTCTATTATTGTAAGTTCGCTATTTTCATCTTTCGGTGATTTTAACAGTCGAATTTATGAAGAACTCAACAAAGAGATGCGCAAAATATATCATGATATTGGATTACGCTATTTTGTAAGAATTAAGATTGAACGTGCCATAATTAAATTAATGTAGTGTCGTTGTAAATATAAAATAATTTATTATTATACGAAACTCGAGAATCGAATGGAACCGAATCAGAATGATTACACAATTAAATTTGAACCCGATTGTTCCATTTACTAAATACTCGAAAATTCGGGTTCGATTCGGCTCTAAAAAGAACCAAACCGAACCAAATCGAATATGACCATGTTCAGCCCTATTCGAAACTGGGCTATGGTTTGGACATAGTGGTAAAGTATTTATAAACAAAATTTGATTTTTTTTTATTTTTTGAAAAAAAAAAACTAGTGGCAAAACCTTGATTCGAAACCCCTTCAGGGTTTGCAAGTTTTTTCGGGTCAAATTGCCATTTCTAACCTCGGGTGCCACAAGAAAGTGCAATGCACCGTCCTCGATAACTTATGGATGTCATAACTAAAATTCGATTTGTGTAGTAACGTCGTTATAGCATTATATTATTCAATAAAAAATGATATATATTTATGTTATGACCAACTAATACATGAATTTTGTATTAACAAAACTAGCCTATATTCTAGTGAGAATACTTATAGACTTTTATTTTTTTAGGATTCTATAAAGTGATTATACTCTTGAATTTTTTTAAAAACAAAATAGTCAAAAGAAGAAAAGATAGGTGCACTAACCTAAGTAAATCCCTCATGGAACCATTTGCTCATAGAATAAATCCAAATTGACCAGATTTTCAAATTAAAAGAATAAATCCAGGACTGCAAATAGAATTAGTTAAAGTTTGAGGGCATCAAAACAAATGAGTTTTCTAAAAGAATAACTTTTTTTCATCTCGACGGCACGCGATAACACCTTTTTTTCACGAGCACTTCGTATTTCTTGAAAATTACAAAATTAGTACTTGACTAAGTTTATCATTAATTTCTCGAGACATTTGTCATTATTGTTTTCTTTGACTGACTAGAGAAATTAATGAAAAAAGTCAATACAATATTTGTAATTTTCAGATAATAGAGGGGTTTTATTGTAAATTAAAAGCAAATATTTCAGTGTAGGGTTCATGCGGAAACTTGACGCGGCCGGCGGCTCTTGGTACGTAGTTTACTTTACTCCTTTAAGAGAGGCCCTTATACTTTAGATATATTTATATTCTGCCTCATTACTTTTTCTTATTTACATTCATGACCTAATTGAATATTATTATTATTATTCTATTCTTGATATAACCTATTCCAGTGCAACTTGACGAAAAGGACAATTAATCAGCACTAACTGTGGCTGCCACTAATTCACGGGGTTATGAATATTCTGAGATTTCATTAAAGTTTAAATTAAATTCGTAAGTTAGGTCAAAAGTCAATTACTTTTAGACAAGATTTTTAATAGATATCATAAAGTTGCTTGTACAGATTTCATTTACATAATGTTTTACATATGCTGATTTGACGAGTATTTACCTTTCTAGTTTAATTTTGATTTTTGTCCAAATTATGTGAGAGTGCTCGCTTGCTCAAAATTCTGTAAATAAAGGTGTAAACAAATATATACGAAACTCATGGTACATATTCACAATTTTTCAACTTCATTTGAAGAAAAAAAAAATCGTGATAATCTTTTTCATCACAAACCTGCATATTTTTAACACCAGAAAAGTTTGAATTAGATCATTTTTATATGTTAAATAAAAATACTTTTTACAATGTGAATAATATGATTTTTTTTTCATATAAAATTATCACCATTTGTATTCTAGTTGAAATGCATAAATATAAGATCGAGAGTAAACGGACCAATTTATGAGATCTTAACTACTCGATCTGTCCTCGAGGATTTTTTCGCTCCAACCCCCACTTAAGGCAAGGCAATGCGGGACGGTTTATTGTCCCATTTATATTTTAGAATTTTTTAGAGTACTTCAAAATTATGGCTAATGGATTTGAACATAAAAATTTGGGTTAAAGTATTTATAAATAACTTTTGAATTATTTTAATAAATAACTAGTACTCGCTCAAGGGTAGTAAAACCCCAACCCAAAATTGTCACGTCGTCCCTTCGAAGTGGAGCACGGATTGTTTAGGTCAGATTGGCATTCCTATCCTTGGGTGCCACATGGAGGTCTTATGCCTCGTTCTAGTAAGAATACTTCGCCTCTGTTGGACTCTATTTTTTTTAAATAAAAAAATTAAACACACTTTCAATCACATATTTTACGGGATTTTCAATCTTTATCTATTTTTCAATAATACATTTTATCATTTTTTATTAAAATTTAATAATATTTTGATTTTTAATTAAATCAAAGGGGCTATGTAGACTTTGATTTTTAGGATTCTATAAGGGAATACATTGAACACTTAAAAACTACTTAAAACAATAGTCACAAGAAGAAAAGATAGGACCGATAGGTGCATTACCACTTGCTCATATTTTATATTTGTAAGGCTCCCACTACCTGTAAAATAATAACAATTCAACTTTAAGTTTCACAATTTTTTTTACACTGTGTGAAGTAGTACACTTTTTTATCCTTGATTTCAATAACAATTAAAATAATTCACGACACATATTTTTACTCATCATGCAATATCAACATTAATGTGTAAAAATAGCATTTCCCAAAGAATAATTCCAAATTGACCAAATCTTCAAATTAAAAGCATCATTGGAGGACTTCAAATATAATTATTTTAAAGTACGAGGGCATCAACACAAATTAATTTTAAAAAAATCTTCAATATTCATTGGTAAATGTGAAAGGAAAGGTTCCCAACACAACTATATATAAAGACTCCCCCTCAAGCAAAGTAATTATTCTCTTTTGATGGGCTCAAACAATTGGGACGTTTTCTAAACACACATATTTTCCCATCGTTTCTCCTCCGAGAAGGTGACAACTTTCCCAGAGAGATGAGTAAATATACAGAGCTTTTCGATACATTTGTGAGAGTTGCTGCAAGGTTCCATTCTCACTGCCCACAAACTGCACGGATGTACTACCATCCTCCAACTAGCCATGACGGCAGCCGCCGCCATCACGACAATGTCTCCGGCAACAGCGCCACCAGGGATGTTTCAGCGCCGATGGGGTGTCATGGTTCTGAAGGTGTTGGGGTTGATACTACTGACTTTATTCTTTATACTATTGCTTGATAGAGGAGGAGGAGAAGAAGATTTGAAATATTATTTATAATTATTTTGGCATACAATTGTAATGAATTTCTTTCAAGAATTATACACATTCAAGATTTGATGTTTATTTTTTCCATGTTCTATGTGTATATTTTATATATTTTTTTACGTATTTTCAAGAATTTTAAGGACCAATACTACCAAATCTTGAAAATCTTATACATTTGATATTAGGTAATAGCACAACGGACATTAGTTTTGGAATATTCTGCAAGTTTATTCTGTAAAATTTTATTATGCTATAGTTTAATCGAGTTGAGATCTGTCCAATTTCTTCTGTTTAATATATTGTCTCAACTAAGTTGGCAGTCGCAATGTGAGGGTTCGATTCCTGCCTTTTACAATGTATGAAATTGGATTCTTTGTGGGTATCAGCATGACAACTCTTGTACCATGGCCTACTGAGGCACAACCCTCGATTTATCTCCTCCACGACACTCTAGAGGCGGGGCGGGGCGGGGTTCAACCTTTTTAATTATTCACACATCACTTTAAATTAACATGTCATCAATTTAGTGGATTAATGGTGAAGTTACTGATGCTAACATTATAATTTAAAAATAATGTGTCAATAATTAATTAAGTTAATATGAAAAATTGGACAGTAGATCTCAACTCAGTTTAATCTTGTTTAATACAAACTATGACGGAAATTTTTCTTTTAATTGGATTTTATTTAGTTGCTTAAAAGAAACTAATTTTTCGACTTTATTTCCCTAATATGGAATTTACCAAGATTAAACTTTACAGTCAAATGGCCACGCAGAGCTAATTATAATTAATGGCAATATAAATGTAAATTAATAGATTCCAATTATGTAACAAAGGAAAATCACACAAGAAAAATATTTTATTTGTATTGTATTGCCACGTGCTAGCTAAAAACACGCTATGTTTATAGAAAGGAAATTAATTCATATTTACATTTAATATATCGTATTTTTAGATGTTAAAATCATGTTTTTATTATGAATCATGCTCGAGTAGCATAATGGCTGACCTAATTCTTAACATAATGTCATATGACGTCATATTATTGAACTGTTTAAAATACAGTCAACTTTTATATCCAATCATATCTTGATAACAATCAACATCTGTTAATAATTTTATGTCAAAGTAGCTCTACCCTTTTGTTATATATATTCAAGGCTTATAGTTCATCAAACAAAATAATAGATCATTGCATAGTATCATTTAGCTCGTTTGTCCGGGCCACTGAGGTGAGTAGCCGACTGTAAATTTCAGGGCCTTGTGGGATTAGTCGAGGTACGCGCAAGTCGGCCAATAAATTTGATAATAAGCAGTAAGAAAATACAATTAATCCTAACCCATTTTTTCTCCATGGTCATAAATCGGTTTTAGAAATTTTCCGTTTTCTTTTAGCTTTAATAAAACTTGAACTATAAGGTCTTAAATCGATTTTATAAAGAGATTATTCTATTGTATTTTAATGATCCGATCGCTTGTAAATGGTTAATACGTTGATTTAACGTGATAGCAATTTTTATTTCAAATGAAATCATGAATGAATTATTCTAAACTTATCGACATTTTTTAAAGAAAATAAATAATTTTAACTGTGTAATATGCTTCGTTATTAAGATTTGTGCCACACATTATAAGTTATTTGTATAATTCATTAATATTTTATTCTTGAAAATTTTGTAATATTCATTACTGTCAAAGAAAACGATATTTTTGTTTATAGATTAGAAAAAATAATTTAGATTTTTTGATAAACATTGAAAATATATATTTACCAGTGACCCAAAGCATCTCTAGCCAGGAAGTGAAGCAACTGTAGAGTCCCAAATTCCACTGTCCTAAATTATCGAACTGTTTAACATCACTTCCGTCTCCGCCTCCGCCGGCCCAGCCCCTTCACCGCCGCAGCATGGATGTCCAACGCCTTGACAAAGCTAACTTGAGCCGGCGCCCCTCCTTCACCAGCCATTCAAACAGTCCGCCACAACTTCTCGTAGTGAAATCATCCAAGAAAATGCCAGATTACAACCACACTACACAGTCACAGAAACATGAACTTCAATTTCACAAGCCTTCAAAGAAAGACCTCTCAAGAATCTTGAGGACACAGTCTGCCATCAAAGCCATTGAAAAGAAAGCCAACTCTTCAAAGTACAATAATCTCTGGCCCAAGGCAGTTTTGGAAGCTTTAGACGATGCTATAAGAAATAACCAGTGGGAGTCTGCTCTTAAGGTTTGTGGGTTTTTCATATGTAACTCCATTTCATACACATATGCATAGATTGAGGGCCTGCTTGAGAGTTTTTATTTTATTTTTTTTCTCCGGTTTTGGTTGGTTTAAACGGTGCAGTGTAATTTTGAGCGGTTTTCTCAACCCGCCAATTCTGATGGGTTTTGGCCGTTTCTCATATTATCTTCTAATTTTACCCAAATTGGAGGTGTTTTAGCTTCTGGGTTTTGGATAATGCTAAAGGTTTGCGTTTCCAACTGTTTTGTCATTTGTGCTGAAATAGTGATGATGCCGAGGTTTTTTTTAGGTGTTAATTGTGGCCTAGAAGAAGAGAAAATCTTGGAATGGTTATGTTTCTTGTGAGAATTTTGTCTTTGGGAATATTTTTCGTTTGTGAACTATTGTTTTGATAGAAGAATGGGTGTTACTGAAAATCTTCATGAACTCTGTAATTTGTTGTCAAGTTTGTTGTTTTTGAACTTCAAATTATTCAAATTTTGGCATTGGTCATGATTCTAACTTTTTCTTATTAATATATCTACTTATGAAAGATTTTTGGTCTCCTGCGTAAGCAACACTGGTACAAGCCTAGATGCCAGACATATGCAAAGTTATTAGTAATGCTTGGCAAGTGCAGGCAGCCAAATCAAGCTAGCTTGCTGTTGGAAGTCATGCAATCTGATGGCCTCCAACTGACAATTGACGTTTACACTGCACTTGTCAGTGCATATGGCCTTAGTGGTCTCCTTGACGAGGCATTTCGGACTGTTAATTATATGAAGACCATCCCTGATTGCAAACCAGATGTGTTTACTTACTCAATCCTTATCAAATGCTGCATTAAACTTGGCCGTTTTAATATGGTGCAACAAATTGTAGACGAGATGTTGGGCTTGGGAATTGAATGTAACACCGTTACATACAATACCATGATTGATGGATATGGTAAAGCTGAACTTTTTGAATTGATGGAAAGCTCACTGACGGACATGCTTGAAAGTGGTACATGTCATCCAGATGTTTTCACATTCAATTCTATGGTTGGGGCTTATGGTAGATCTGGAAGGATTAAGCAAATGGAGAAGTGGTTTGAAGAGTTTCAGCTTATGGGGTTAAAGCCAGACATAATGACATGTAATATACTGGTTAAGTCATATGGAAAAGCTGGGATGTACAAAAAAATGGGCTCTGTTGTGGATTTTATGACGAGGAGATTCTATTGCCCAACGATTGTTACGTATAATATAATTATTGAGACATTTGGAAAGGCTGGGGATATTGAGAAAATGGACGAGATTTTCCTGAAACTGAAGCATCAAGGTCTGAAGCCTAATTCAATTACTTACTGCTCTCTTGTCAGTGCATATAGTAAAGCAGGGCTTTTGAGTAAAGTTGATTCAATTGTGAGGCAAGTAGAGAATTCCAATGTAGTTCTGGATACACCCTTTTTCAACTGTGTCATCAGTGCCTATGGGCATGCTGGTGATGTGGATAAAATGGTGGACGTGTTCATGGAAATGAAGGAGTACAAATGTAAACCAGATGATATCACCTTTGCTACCATGATTGAAGCCTGTCTGGCGCAAGGGATGATTGAAGCTGCTCAAGATTTGGAGAGTGAGATGGTTAAGGCAAATAAAACCTCAGGTGTTTCTTCATGTTGTTTTATATTATAAGCTTCAATCTCCTCTTGCTGCATGCATTATGAACTTATGTGATCAAGTTCTTTTTTGAGGCTTCATGTGAGCTGCCAAATCTTGCATACTTCATTATCAATGATTAGTTTTTTATGGCCGTTATAAATTTCGAAGAATCATTTCAAAAGCTTGTAGAATCATCAATAGAAATTTATAACTTCACATCTTGATAGTTCGTAAATAGTAGACAAGGGTGACGTCAGATTCTTTTGCGTTCAGAAATGAAGTTTCTTGGATGCTAGTATGACTGATCGGACGTGGGAGATACCATCAATAAGGAAGATTCTATTTTACCAGCATTGAAAGAGCGGGCTTTTCTTGTTGCGAGACAACTATTAGACGGTAAGTATGTCCAGCTTCTCTCTGTTCTACTTGCGTTGATTTATTGGCATCCTGCTAATTTTCTATAAAGAAAAGTGGGAGAAGAAGAATCTTCTTCTTCTTCTTTTATTTTATTTTTCCATGGATCTTTTGAGTGTTCATTAGCAGGAAAAGTTCGTGGTTCCATAACCTCCAATTTTTTATCAAGATAACTTTCCCACAAATTATCACATGCATTCTTGGATTTAATAGGAAATTCGAACTATACTTGTTAATCAGTTTCCGGAACTCCTTTGAGATTCATGTACTTCTTAAAGTAATTTTATTTTCCTGTTCATAATCTTTCTTGATAAAAAATCTCTCTTGAATAACTTCCTCAACAATAAGTCAAAGCTTGTGCCTTTATGCCATCATCATCTGGTATGCATTGAAGTATCTTGTTAAGAGTCCAAAGTTTGTGACAAACTAAAGTTTGTGCCACACTTTAAGTTTGTCACAAACTTTGCATATTGCTTAAATGGCTATCTAGAGGGAATTTTTCTACACTTAGGGCCTGCTTCGAAGTTTTTTTTTTTTTTTTTTTTTTTTTGGTTTTGTGTTTTTTTTTTTTTTTTTTGGTAAAATGANGAGGTCGTAAAAACGGTGCTTGATAGTTTTTTGTGAGCACCGGTTTTGGATGGTTTAAAAACCACCAAAAACCAGTGTGGTGTAATTTTAATCGTTTTTGTCAGTCTAGCAAATCAATGGGGTTTGACCGCTTCTCATATTCTCTTCTAATTTTACCATTTATAAAATAATTACTTACACCAAACATATTTTGTTCAAAGCTAACTTGTAAATAAAAGTACATTAATTTAAAAAATATTTATAAGCAAAAATTTTACTTTATAATTAAAAAATTTGCTTATAAGTAAAAAATTACCTATAAGACGAAAAATCAGTTTTGTGTAAAAAATTGTTTATAAACTAAAAATACTACTAATAAGACCAAAATTTACTTATAAAATATAAAAAATTATTTATAAGTAAAAAATTCACATATATAAAAATTGTTTATAAGTAACTTATAATTGTAAAATTTACTTATAAGTATAAAATATTTACTTACAATTTTAAGTAAATGTTTAACTTTTTAATTTAAATATTAACTTATATGTAAAAAAAATTAATTATAAGTAAAATATCACTTATGACTAAAAAAATCACACCAGAAATTATAAATTAAAGTTTCACATGTAATTTTATTCTTTCAAAAAACTTTCTTAATCAGTAGATAATAAATTAGCAAGTATGGGTTGGACTGATTTAAAAACCACTACTAAAATCACCCAAAACCAATTTGTTCATAAACGATTAAAACCGATACTTTGAAGAAGGCCTATAACTGGCACCCCGAAACTCCCAAGCAGGCCCTTAAGGAGTTCCAACAATTTATGGTCAAAGGTGGTCTGGAATTACTTATAAGTTTCTGATATGAATCTCAAAAAGTATTAAAGGACATGGAAACTCACAAATTATGAGAATTAGTACAATACCTGAGTTAATTGAGTGAAAAATTACTATATGAAGTTGACATTTTCAAATCAAGTTCTTATCAGTCCCCAAAATAGAATATTTTGGGTCCAATAGAAATGGATTAGACTAATGACCAAGCGCAGTGGCAGGTTTCAGAACTGATGGGGTTGAAACATGGGTTACTGTTGGAATGCTGTCGTATGATAATTGCCTTCGAAATTTTTATATTTTTGCCTGTGTTGCCTATAAATTACATCTATACCATTTCTTTCAACAAGTTTTGATTTCCCATGTTGGTGTATATTATTGATGAGCTTTCTGTGTGCCTTGTACCACTCCTACCACTTATGAAAATCTGGTGCCAGCTGGGCTTTATTTTTTTACATTTTTCTGGTTGAGCAATTATCAAAGAGACATATATCCAGTAATTATTTCGTTCAAAAGTAGAGAAATAAAATATATGAAACAGATGGCAGATCAGAAAAGGGGTTGGACTACTGCTGTAGGCCCCATTGGGTTCTCCATGGTCCCTATGTTGGTAGATATCTTCATTAGCGTTATAACATCAACATATGAAAAATAAATGCCCAATCAAATAAATAAACGAGGTTAGTAAATGTAGTCGTTTATAACAAAATTGTAATAACTATATGCTGTGGCTGCTTGTGTTAAGAAATCCCCTAATTGTATTATCTTTTTCTCGTCTCGCTTTTAATAACTTGACAAAACATTTTCATATCCTTGTAGTGTGATGAAGATATTTTAAAGACTAAAGATTATTCTTCGTGATATTTTCGTGACAGTGTGAGATTATTTTCCTTAAAAATTGTGGTTAAGACACAATCTTTCCTTTTTAGAGCTAAGATGTAACCCTGTACCCTCAATATTTATTTTGAAATAGTTAGACAAGATCTTACAATTTAAAATTTTCAACATGGTATTAAAGCGTGGTTAATCCGATTTTGGGTTAAACTTGTAAGCTTCCTCCAGCGAGTAGCCTCACACCTAGGGGCGGATGTGGGGGGTAGAGCCCAGTGCAGCCTCGGCCCAGAAAGGAATTTTGTTCGTAAGTTTTTTGAAAAAAAGAAGGGAAAAATTACATAAAACCAGGGGTTTACTTTGACCTTTTTAAAAATCAGGAATAACTTTTAAAAAATCAGGTTTGAAGTTTATTTTTACAAAAATCAGGTGTTATATTAAAACCCTAATTTATCAATCCCCTCCTCCAAACCCATTCTCTTTCTACCTCTCCTCCCTCTCGTCGATCTCCTCTCTCGTGTCGCCGTCACCACCCTATTACCAGCCCCGGCCGACGATCGTCGCAAAGCAAGGTGCCGCTGTTGTTGGCACCGTCAATAAAGCAAGTTGCCGCTGCTGCAGATGCGACCCGTCACCTCCTCCATTCTCTCTCTCTACACAAACCCATCCTCTCCGACCAGAAGGAGCGCGAATCGTCGCCAGGGTTTTTGATGGATGATATGGACGAGGATGATGAGCCCTTAGTATTTAAACGGAGTAGCTCATCATCGAAGCAAAACCAATCAATCCCACAACTGCAAAATTAGGAAGGCTGATGCCCAATGGACGATCTCCAAATGGTCAAAGTTCTGGGGATTCAAAATGGTAAGATGGTTTTTGTGTGGCGGCGGTTTTATGGCGGTGGATTTGGCGGTTGCAATGCTGTGGTGTTTGTGCAGTGGCGATTCTGTGGTGGTGGCTGTGGTGCTTTGTGTGGTGGTGGCGATGACGTTTGTGTGGTGGCGATTTTGAGTGGCAGTTTTGGGTGGAGGTGATGTCGACGAGTAGCAGGATGTGGCGTGGGTGATGGCAGCCGTCGCAAAGATGGGGTCTAGTTTTGGAAAATATCGTAGATCTGGGAATGTGTGGTTGTGGAGGTGGTGGATCTGCGGTGGTATGTTTAAGGCTGTGGTGGTGGATCTGTAGTGGCGGTCATGTGGTGACGATGGTGATCCGTGTGGTGATGGTCGTTTTTTGTTATTGTTGTGCAGGGTCAACGGCAGTGGTGGTTCTTTTTGGTATCTGTGACCTAGCTATTGAACTGTGACTTTAAAATTGATAATTTGAAATTAAAAAAAGAATCCGTGCCCACAAATTTGAAGATACGTGACATGTGACATATAATTTTTTTGATATGTGACTAGTAAAATAATCTGTGACCTATAAAATTTCAGATTTGTGATCTCGAAATAATCAGTGGCCTACAAAATTTTTGATCCGTGACCGATAAAAAAATTGTGACCTATCAATTTTTTGATAAGCTGTGACCTGAAATTAATTTTTAACTAATTATAAGATATTTGTGACTAAATTGCACAATTAAATATTTAGGGCCCGTTTGGGAGGGATGGAGATTTTGAAGAATTGATTTTGCTGTCAAAATCATGTACAGGGAAAAGGATGTGCAAGGACAAAAAAAGGGCCAAATTTCCGTTTGTACCCTCCGAAGCTAAAGATGCATATTGTGAAAGAATTACTTCAGCACATTTGGCTTTTCCATGCTCTTAAAAGCCAACATGGGTCCCACTATCATAGTCTACCATTTTTTGTCCTTGTTGGTTTTTTTTTTGGCAAATTGACGTGCAAATGTTTTTATTTTTCTTACTGTGAAATATGAAACCGACCTTGGAAAATTGGTTTCTTCATCGTATTGTTTAGTTTGGATTAATTTTCACACGATGCGTGCAATATCGCTACTTTTTTAAAAATTACTTTATAACGTGGGACACAATAAAATTACGTTCTACATAATACATTCAAACTTGATGTGCCAAATAATCTCGGAACATATCTCACTCATTTCGTTGGGTTTCCGGTGCATGCATTTCGGCTGCCACTTCTTCCCTTTCGTCTGGGAGGTCCACCTTTATTTTCCCTTGCCCTTTATAGTGAAAAGGAAAGTACAGTTTATACCAATAATTCACGTAGGACACATACATGTACAGTTAACTTGTGAGGGGGTAATTTGTTTTACCAACTAAAGTACATATCCTCACATCAATGATAAAGAAAAACCACAGGCTTTTTCAAAAGTGCAATCTGCTGCAAATCTAAAAGAATCACAATAATGGAGTGCACGTAAAACAATTTATTTCTCAGCGCATGGAAAGTGGTTTTCACAGTGCATAAGGAAAACTTCAAACGGTTGACAATATGTTAAACTCGAATATAAGAACAGTACACATCCAGATAATACAAACGGTACACATAAAAAAATACAAACAATAAAGGAATGCACGGAAAATGTTTATACCTAAAAACTACACCAACAGTTCCATTATACTTGAACACCAAGGAGGGAGAAACCGTGCCACGACTCTGCACGCAAGCTGCATGAAGTAGACATCAAGGTGGCTGTCCTTTTCTGTACTCTTTCCAGCCCCACTCA